GGGAGGGGAGAGGGGCCGCGGGGCCGGTCCGAGCCTCCGGGTCCCGTCCCCGGTCCCGCCGCCATGACGCTCGCCGTGTTCTTCGGGTGCACCTTCATCGCCTTCGGGCCCGCGCTCGGACTCTTCGTCTTCACCATCGCCCGCGACCCCCTCCGCATCATCATCCTCATCGCTGGGTCAGTCCCGCACCGGCACCGGGAGGGGCACTGGTGCGGTCGTGATGGGGGCTCCGGTACTGGTACCAGTACGGGCGCGACGGGTGTACTGGTACCACTGTGGGTCTGACGGGGTGCTGGTGGCAGTGCCGGTACTGGTACCCGTACGGGCGTTACAGGGGTGCTGGTGCCAGTGCCTGTACTGGTACCGGCATGGGTGTGACAGGGGTGCCAGTATGGGCGCGACGGGGGTATTAGTACCACTAGGAGTCTGACGGGGGCGCTGGTACCAGTGCCGGTACTGGTAGCGGTGTGGGTACGGCGGGGGTGCTGGTACCAGTATGGGTCTGATGGGGGCGCTGGTACGAGTGCAGGCACTGGTACCAGTATGGGTGCGATGGGGGTGCTGGTACCAGTGATGCTGTTGATATCAGTGTGGGCATGACAGGACGTTGGTATCAGTGCCTGTACTGCTACCAGTATGGGTGTGATGGGACGCTGGTACCAGTGCCTGGATGGGGGTACTGCTACTAGTGCTGGTACCAGTGTGGACAGGACAGGGGGGCTGGTACCAGTGTGGACAGGACAGGGAGGCTGGTACCAGTATGGACAGGACAGGGAGGCTGGTACCAGTATGGACAAGACAGGGAGGCTGGTACCAGTATGGACAAGACAGGGAGGCTGGTACCAGTATGGACAAGACAGGGAGGCTGGAACCAGTATGGACAAGACAGGGAGGCTGGTACAAGTATGGATAGGACAGGGGGCTGGTACCAGTATGGACAAGACAGTATGGGTGTGACAGTGACATTACTTGTACTGGCGGAGGCAGAACCAGGTGACCAGTACTAATGCCATTGTGGGTGCATTGGAGGCACCAGTACTCGGTTCAGGGCTGGTGGTGTTACTGGTGCATGTGTGCAGCAGGGGCACTGGTACCAGTACTACTGTGGGACCAGTCAGGTGTGGATATGAACCTGGTACTGGTGTAGGCACAATGTGGGCACTGGTGCCAGTCCTGGTTACCAGCAGAGGAGGAGTGCAGGCACAGCAGCAGTACTGGTGTGGGCACCACCTGTCTAGACTGGTACCAGTAGGAGAGCGGGGCACAGCTGCCAGTGCTGGTACCAACACAGAGGAGTGCAGGTGTAGTGCTGATGGGCCTGGGCTTGGCACTGGCACTGGCACGGCACTGGTCCCAGCACAGCACTGGTGCCAGCAGGTGCTCTCTCTCTTGCAGGGCTTTCTTCTGGCTGGTGTCGCTGCTGCTCTCCTCCCTCATCTGGTTTATCGCGGTTAAAGCCAGCGATCCCCGGGATGAGCCTTTGCAGAAGGGGCTCTTGATATTTGGGGTGATGTTCTCTGTGTTGCTGCAGGAGGCCTTCCGCTTCCTCTACTACAAGCTCCTCAGGTAAAGGACATCTCCCACCCTGCTCCAGCACTGCCCCTTCCCCTGGCCGTGGTGGGTGCCAGATTTCAGCTGGGAGCTTCTTGCCTTGGGGGGGGATGCCAAGTGTGGCACCAAGCTGCCTCGGTCCTTGCTGGGAGCATGCGGGTGGTACCTGTGTCAGTACGTTGACCTCGGGTGGGTCTCAGGTGGTGGAGCAGAGCAGCCCTAAGGTCTGGAGGACCCAGGGCTGAGGTGGCTGGTAGCATCTCCCTGAATTTGGGACAGGTAGACTGTGGGTTTGGGCTGCTGCAGGACCTGTCACATCCTCTCTGCCCTGGTGACTAGAACCAGAAGTGCTCCTGCAGCCCAGGGGGACGCCACAGGGATGCCAGGCACCAGGAAATGCTTGCTTTACTGCGTGGGGGACAGAGAAGGCTTAGGGATCTGCCCTCGCCTCCTGGCAAGTCTCATTCCTTTCTTAGGGATGGTTTTGTGTGAGCAGGGACAGCCTGAAGGTGGTTTTGGGGCTCTGTGGGGTGACAGATCGCCACCAGCCCTGTGCTCCGTGCCCTGGCCAGCTCAGGGCAAAGTCTCAGTGCAGCCTCAGCAGCTCCCAGCCTCCCTGGCGCCACCAGCCCAGAGCAAGCACATGTTGTACCCCGTCTTGTGTTCGGGCAGATGGACGCTGCGCTGGGGCTGGGCAGGCAGACAAGGGGAGGTGATGCTGGGTTTGGCATTCCTCATATCCCTGAGTCTTCCTGGCCAGCTGGGTGCTGGCAAGGGGTTTAGGGAAGGCCCCGTACGCTGGCTGGCACCGTGCCCTGCAGCAGAGCGCTGCTGGAGGCAGGCAGGCAGAGGGTAGCAGAGCTCCATGGAGCAGCCTCTGACACAAACCACTGCATTTCAGTTGCCTTGCAGATCTCCGGTTGCAAGTGCTGTTGTCCTCCCCGGGCTGAGAGGCCGGCAGGCGTCCTCCTCACCCACCACATCTCTAGCTGATAAAAATTATGAATCCCACCTCTCCCAGTTTCTGTCCCCAAAGAATTTTCTTAGCTTTTTGAGCTCTTTTCTGCACCCCCTCCATTTTTTATTTCCAGTCTTCTAAAGAGTATAAATGGCGGGATCAGGTACACCCTCCCAGCATACACCTCCCACGCCTGCACTGGGGCTGCTTTCCCTGCGGGGGTGCTGCTTGCTTTGCACCCGCTGTCCCGCTCCCCCGAGCCCTGTTCTGCAGGACCGGCTGGCATTCACATTCCTCTGTGGTAAATCTTGCTATGTGGTTTCGTGTGATTTTCACATGCGTGGTTTGTCTGATGGTTCAGGGTGGTCATGTGGATGCTCTCCATGGTGTGTGGTTACCGGGAGGGTGGGAGGATGCAGAGTGAGACCCTGGTCCTGTCTGCTCCATCCTGGTGCTGCACCATGCACTGGGAGGTGGCTGGGCTGTGCTGGGCTCCAGCATGCTCTCATCCCACAGGAAGGCCATCGAGGGGCTGGTGGCCCTCAGCGAGGATGGCTGCTCCCCCATTTCCATCCAGCAAATGGCATATGGTGAGTGCTGCACAGGGCAGAGCACCCCGACCGCGGGTCCAGGGGTGAGCCCAGGCAGGGCTGGGCACGGTGCTGGGGGAAAAGGAGGTTTCTCACACCGAAGCTGGCTGGGAGGTGCCTGGGGTGGCCCTGGGAGGCTCAGGGTCTGACAGTGTCCCTCTCCTGGCAGTGGCTGGTGTGGGATTCGGGCTTATGAGTGGCGCCTTCTCCATGATCAATCTCCTGGCAGACACGTTAGGGCCTGGCACTGTGGGAATACATGGGGACTCGCAGCTCTACTTCCTGACCTCAGGTGGGTGACTGGCACCCTTTGCCCACATCTCTGCCCCACCACAGAGGTAGCAGACCTGGGGGGACTGGAGTTTCCCCTCCATTCTGCACCCTCTACCTATTGGAGCCCTTTAAAGTCCCCTGTCACATCTTTCTGTGCCAAACTCTTCCTTCTGTCTCCTGTGACCCTCCTGGCTCCTCTCCCCTACCCATCCCACACTCATGGTCTGCCTCAGCACTCCCCAGTCCAGCCCAGCAGTGCCTGACTACCCCTTCCCAGCTCCTCTCCATCCCTCCCTAAGCCTGCAGGCCAGGTCAGGGCAGGTGGTTTCCTGGTGACACTCCTCTGCCACTCCCTGCAGCTTTTATGACCATGGTGCTGATTTTCCTTCACACCTTCTGGGGAATCCTCTTCTTCCATGGCTGTGAGCATCGGCGCTGGTGGGAGATCACAGCAGTTGTTGTCATGCACCTTGCTGTTTCGGGGTCGGTGAGTAGCTGGGACAGAGCTCTGCGCCAGGACCTACATTGGGGTATATCTGCGGTTTGTGCTGGTCCCTGTGCCAGGGGAGGGAAACAGCCTTTGGCACTAGCAGAGCAGTTGGGTTTGGGGGATTTGCAGCTGTCCCTTCATAAACTGAATCCTGGAGCTGGTGTCCCCTGTCCTGCTCCGCTCGTCAAGGCAGCGATTCTCTCTCTGTCCTCTCCTGCCTGCTCACCCCTCTCCTCTCCCACCTCTGTCCCCAGACGTTTTGCAACCCCCTGTATGTGGGCAGCCTGGTGCCCTCCTACCTGCTGATGGCCACTGCTGCTGCCTGGGCTTACCTGCTCTCAGGGGGATCTGCCCAGAACCTGTGGCGCTTCCTGCTCTGTAAGTTCTGCTCCATAAAGGAGATGGGGGACCCTGTGGGTCCGTCTGGGTACCGGAGAGAATGGCCCTGGGGCTGGAACGAGGGTGTCATCCCCTTGGAGACTGGAGAAGCTGGGTTTTGGGTCTGTAGTTGGGCTGTTGCCTCTCCTGGGGGAAGTGGATGGATAAGGAGTCTGTTGAAAACTGACCCCCTCTCCTCTTGGTTCCTGCAGGTCTGCGGAGTGGACCCAGCCCCCAGCCGGGATCCTGAGGTCCTGCGGGACGTTCCTGTCCCCAGCCACCCCTGCCCCTCCCTCCATCCTGGTGGCAAGAGTGGCCATCACCTTCTCTGCAATATCTTTTCTCCTGAACTGGGGGATCCTGGCCAGTCCCTGTGGGGCAGGCACTGGGTCCATCTGAGGCAGCCAGCCAACTGGTGTGGCTTGCTCTGACACCGCTTTGGGAGCCCCCAAAGAACAACTGTTTTGGGGGAACCCAGCTTTGCTGGCCCTGCTGCGAGGGGAGCCCCAGTTAGCCTGCCTGGGAAGAATGCTACCTTGCACTGCCGGAGGCCTGAGCCCAAAGAAATCCATCGCTTCTCCCCCCCGCCGCAGATGTGCTGTCCCCTGTGCCAGGCGGGGGGCCCCCGCATCGCCTCCTCACCGCAGGGTGGAGGAAGCGGCTTTGCAAAGTGCTGCCGTGCTCTGGATTGGGGCTGACCCTGTAGTGCTAATTTCTCCACCTCTTTGCCCAGCCTTGCTGCCCTGGGAGGCTGCAGCTCTGGACTGCAGTAACTGCAGGGAGTTGGCATCCTGGTGCAGGGAGGATGGTGCTTGGGGACCCAAAGGGCCTGACAGCACCTAGGATGGGAGGAGGATGGGGAAAAGACAGTACCCAAAGGGCTCAGCAGATGTGGAGGGTGGTGGAAGACTTAGGAGGAGATGCAACCCCGCAACTGGTGCTGGCACAGCTTGGGGAGGGGGTTCAAGGGGCCATTCCAGGGGATAATTGCCCTCTCCTGCACTTGGGGATTTTCAGGCGGGCACCAGCCCTGATGCTGTGCCACAGGGCTGGGCAGGAGAAGCTGCCATCAGGCTTCGAAGGCAGTTTTATCCACAGTGGACTTTTATACCAATAAAAAGAAGTACCACAGACAAGCGGGGCTGTGTGTGGCCAGTGGTGCCTCCCTTGTGGGAAGGGTGCAAGCACTCTGCAGCAGTGGTGGCAGGGGCTTGTGCTGGTATGACTGGTGGGGGGAGGGTCTGGCAGTTGCAGACTCCCCAGTGCCTGGGGGTCTTGCTCCTGCTCTGTCCATCCTAACATGGGCTGGGCTCCAGTTACACAAGCTTTGGGGTGGAGGCTGGTGAGAGCTAGACACCTGCAGGTTCCTCCCCTCTCCTGGACTTGGCCTGTTTCTCTTGGTTTTGGTGTAGCCAGAGTTCCATGGGGCCACCAGGAACAGTGGGAGGCAGCCATGGATCTGGGACCACCCCAGCTACGGCAGAGCCAGAGGGGAGCAGGGTAGGGGCTGGCCTGTGTGGAAGCAGTGGCTCTGCCACCTTCATCTCTGCCTTTCTCCAGCCCTACGAAGATGCAGCTATGTTTTTCCAACGCTTTGCACAAACAGGAGGAGGAAGAAGTCCCAGAGCGATGGAGGGCAGGGCTGGGCTGTGCAAGGAGCCCTGCGCTGCTTGCTCTGGAGCTCTGCCCGGGGCATGGAGGCCAAGGCTGCCTCTGCTGCTCAGGAAGGGGTCCCTGTGAGCCCCTTTCTGCTGTGGGTCCAGCTCCACCAGTGCTCTTTCCTGCCCCACAGCTTCACACAAGAACAGCAGAGAGGACTGGCACCATGGGAGGCTTTTACTTTTTTTTTTCCACGTTTTTACCTTTTTTTATAACAAAAATATCTACTGGGGCCAGATGCTGCCCCAGGCAAACAGTCTGTGTGGGCAGCCAGGGGATGCTGAAGCACTGGCCTTCCCTTGGCCCAGGGGGGTCAGTGAGGGGATGTGGGGTGGCAGACTGAATCAGGGGGGCTGGGACCACAGCAGAGGTGCACAGCTCACGCAGTGTTCTCTGTGGTGGCTGCTGTGTAGATGACCTTGGATTTGGTTGGTGAGTCCAGCCTGGTGGGGGAGGAAGGGAAGGAGTGTTAAGAGCAGGCTAATCCACGTTGGTGCCCAAGAAACCGCTCTTAACCCCCACTTCTCATGCCCCAGACTGGTGCTACCCCACCGAGCCCCCTCCTCCTGCAGCTCCCCATCACTCACCGTGTGTTCTGGCTGCGGTGCTTGTAGATGTATAGTAGGAAGGCCAGTGCTGTGATGGCAAAGAGTATCCCAAAGAGGACAGCCAGCACGTCCCCTGCAAGCCAAGCACAGGCATGTTAACCTGGAGATGGTCCTGAGGCTCCTGGCTGAAGGATATGGGGCGAAGCTGAGGCAGGCCTGTAGCCCAAAAGCAGAAGGGACAGGAAGGCAGCAGCCGTGGCTGAGCATGCTTACCTGCATGAAATGAAGAGCTGGAGTGTCCCTCTGCAAAGGAGACAAAGATGAGAGGATGAGAACCAACTGCACAGATGCTAGGGCAGCCCCGCAAAGCCACTGTGGCTGCCTGCCCTCCAGCTCATCACACAGTTGCCAGGACCCCCCTTTCCCTGGCAGGTACAACCCCCAGCCACTTGTCCTCCTTCAGGCCAGCCCCTCACCTACCTGTTGCTGCTGAGTCATCATTACCTAAAAGAGAGACAGCATGGTCAACAAGTTGCCTTAGGTGTTTGGGGAGGGAAGTGTCAAGCCTGCAGGGCTTCAGGCCTCACCACCAAAGCAGGGCTGCCTGCAAGACTGCCCATTGCTTGTAAGCAGGCAGGGGAGAGCTGCCTGCCAGGTCCCCAGCAGCTCACAACATCTTGCTGCAAGAAGCCTAGCCCTGACAGCCTGCGAGAAGCATTGAGGGAAGGGGGGGGGGGCAGTGTCCCTGAATCACAGCCCACACAGAAGCCTTGCTGAGCCCAGTCAGAAACACCCCCACTGCTGTTGCCACTGCCCAGGAAGCAGGCAGGGAGGGTGCGGAGTGCTGCCATGAATGCACCAAACCTTGCAGAAGACCCCGGAGAGGGGCATGGGGTGAGCCCAGCAGGCAGCAACCGTGGGGACAGTTGCCTGCAGCAAGATGGTGAGCAGCTACCCAGAAGGTGAGCAGCTGTTGCCAACATGGCATCCTGCACGGGGATGGCTCGGTGGCCCAACATGCTGGGCAGGAGCTGTGCTGGGCTAATATTTACCCAGTGCAACAGCGTGGTTTTTAAAGAGCTGTATTATCATCTGTACACGGCTCAGGTATTGCGCACAGAGTGGCACTATCTGTGGGCTGTATTCAGCTGCGTAGCCACTGCAGGGAAGCCGCCGCCTTCACCCAGCAGCCAGGGGCAGGAGTGGCTGTTCTCAACTGGGGGTGGCTGGGGAAAGATCAACAGGCATGGGTGCAGGAGGTGCAACTGCAAGCGAAGCAAGATGTGACCCCACAGCACTCAGTCTTGGCACTCAGTGGTCCCAGGGATAAAGCAAGCAGTTATCAACACTGAGGTGGGGAGAACACCAACAGCCCCATACATTCAAGGTGGGGTCCAGTAACCTCACCCAGGAGTACTGGGACAGTGTCCTGGCACACCAGGAATAAGGGCTTTGTGGCTTTGTTAAAGTGGGAGTTGTTGGATAGAAATAGCAAATAAGGAAAGGATTAAAAAAAAAAAAAAAAAAAGGGGAGCTGGGCAACTACCCCCTCACCTCAGCCTTGGCGGCTGGAGGCTTTGGAACAGCTTCTGCATGAAAGTGTTAAAAGAAAGGCTTGGAGGTAAATGGAAAATATGATAAAGTATCTAACAGGTTTACCAAAGATAGAGCATGCCAGCCTAACCCGATATCCTTCTTTGATAAGTGATATTCTAGACAAAGAAAATGTGGTAGATTTTATCTCTCCCAACTTCAGTGAAGCATTTGATGCAGTGCCACACGGGAAATTGCTAGCCAGGCTGAAGACCACGGTGATTAAAAGCCTGCAGCTGTTAGTGAGCTGGCTGCAGGTGGGATGGTGAAAGGAAGTGCCTTGCACCACAGGTGTGTGGTTACGGAGGCATTGCCCAAGGGCCTGGGACCAAGCCTGTGTGCTGCTTCTATTAGTCACCTTGACACAAGGTGTAGGAAATGCTATCAAAACAGAAAAGGAACAGGATGTTGGGACAGAAAAACCCCTGTGACCTCAGAGAGCAGCAACAGGCAAGAATTCAGCGATGCAGAGCGATAGTCACACCTGAGTATTAACAGGAATTTCTACTCATCGCTGGAAGCCACCAGTGCAAGAAAGGCCTTCGAGGACAAACCGAGGACGGGCAGACAGGGATGCCTCAGGCAGGGGACCATGTGCCTGGCCAGATGGCTGCATGGCCCCACTGGCAGAGCACAGCCTTCAGGAGGGGTCCCCTACACTGCCCTTCCCACAAGGTTTGGTGGTGGGGTGCTCGCTGCAAGCCTGTACCTCTGCAGCTCTTACTGAATTTAGCTATTGCATTTGGGGGTGAAGCAGCTAGCTGGGATGCTAAGACCTTGATAATACACATCCCCTAGTCCCACTACTGTTATTTCTGCAAAGCCAAGGATAAAATAGTTCCTAGAAACCGATCTTCCCCAGGCAGGGTGAGAGAAGCGCAGAAATGAGGGAGAGCAGGACACCAAGACCAGTGCTGCAATAAGTCACCTGCTAGGCAGCGCTACTCCATACAAATGCTGCACTTTTGTAAGAGACACCAAGCCTTGACTCCTGCTTCTCACCCCATCTCTGCACCCCTGCAGCTGGGTGCAGCCTGAGCACACTCACGTGCTCCTTACCAGTAGGCAGCTGCTTCGCTGAAGAGAGGGTGGTCTGGAAACTCGCCAGCACCCGTCGCCCGTGCATGTCCTGCACCATCCGGAAATTGTTCTGCAGAGGTTTGTTGTCGTCGTTTCTCAGGCTCATCACCAGCATTGACATCTGTAAGGAGAATGGTGTGAGCAGAGCAGGGTGCACGCTGCTTTTGGGAGCCAGGCAAGCCCCAGGTGACTGGCACGGATGGTGCACACTTGCAGGGAGAGGCTGAGCTCACTGCTCTGACAGACCTGTTCATGAGAGAGCATCATGGTCTGGTTGAAGACTGTCCACTTCACTGTCTGGTAGCAGGGAGGGGTGGTCAGAGAGCCGTTGTAGTGAAAGTAAAGTTTCAGGTTGGTAGGCAGCAGACCTGCGATGTTGAATCCAGACACCAAGACTTCCTCACCTGGGAGAAGAAACACCACGGGAGTGAGATCACAGAAACCCCTTGGAGGGCATCCGGCAGGACCACATGGAGATCATGGGCAGCCTGCCACTGCATGTGCCAGGGTCCACACTGCTGCCACTGCTGCCCTGGAGAAGGAGCAGTGGGTTTGCCCTGGAGGCAGAGGAAAGCACGTGTGAGCAGAGGACACCTTGGAGAGCTGTTTCTGTACAAGCTGTGCAATGCTCCCCTTCTCACATACACACAGCAAACACCTGCTGCAGCCTCTCTCTGCCATGCAGCAGGTTTCTCTCCTGGGCTGCAGCCCCTGAGACACGTACTAGGTGGGGCAGGGCCTTACCTTCTTCTTGGATTTTGTGCAGATGCTCAAGTATTTCCTGATAGTATGGGTTTTCCCTTGGCCCAACCTGCAACAGAGAGACCCCACAGTAATGACAAGGACAGGGGCTGAACAGAGACCAGCTGGTGTCAGCAGTGCCAGCAGGAAGGTGTCACTCCCTGCGAGAGGCACCCTATCCTGGTGACCCCCTTCCTCCTCTCAGGGTTGCTCTGCTCTCTTAACTGCCCTCTCTCCCCTTCTCCCCAGGAGCATTTGCACCTTTGTCAGTCCCCAAAACTGTGCATGACTCTGCCCATCCCAGTCCTGCCTTCTCTCAGTTCACCCAGGGATGATCCATGGAACTCACCTCCAGGAAGGCTCCCAGTACAGCCAGGCCATCTGGGTGGACCATTGCCTCCTTAAAGGTGTCATACTTGGTGTTGTAGTGGACCACATGGATCTGCAAGGGAACCATGCAACCCCGATGCAGGACAGGCACCTCCAGGAGGTGCTCACCCCTACAGGGCTCCAGCCTGCCAGAGCAAGGGCCAGGAGAGACATGCACCCATGATAAGCACCCCTCCTAGGAGGGAAATATGCTGGTGGGACCAAGAAAATGTGATGCTGCAAAGCAGCAAGTGTGAAGGTCTGCCTGCAGGAAATTCCCTTGTCAAGGAAAGCAAACCCGCACTCTGACCTAGATGCCAGGGGGTCGTACTACAGAGCAAGGCTCAGTCTGAGGACAGCAGCTAGAGAAGGAGAGATAAAACCAGATGGGAGCTGGCAGAGCAGGAGGACAGTGTGTACAGAGTAAACAGTCCCTGCAGCTCCCAAAGCAGGCTGCTCAGAGCCGCCCAAGGAGCTAGCTCCCCCATCCCGGGGACTGCCACAGCTCCTGCTCCATCAGCCCAGGGCCAGGCTGCAGCGTGGGGCCAGGCTGCACCACTCACACTCGCCCAGCCCCAGCCCACCTGCAGGGTGGTCTCCCACTCGCCTCTGCACCACAGGCTGCTGCGTGTCTGGCTCAGCACCAAAGCTTGGCATCCTACACTGAACTCTACTGCTGTGGAGCTGCCCAGGGAGAAGGGATCCTGGCCAGGGGTTACAGCATTCATCCAGTGACAACTAGGGCCCTGGGCTAGGAGCATGGCAGCACTCCAGTACCTTCCCTTCCCAGCATCAGGAGAGGGGAGGATGTATCCGCCACCACGAGGGTTCCTTACCTCTGCAGCAAAGCGGCGCCCATCGACAGTGTGCTCTGAGCCAGGTCCCGACAAGGAGCCCCAGTGCAGGTGCAGCTGCACAGCTCGGTACTGCTGGGCATAGCCACCAGTGATGGCCAGTGATTCAGGCAGCTCAAGGAGAACTGCAGAAGCAGAAGGAAGAGGTTGGTCAGTAAAACACAAAGTTCAGTCCATCCCACAGGTACACAGAGGAGATATCTCAAAGGGAAAGAGTAACCCTCAGCTTGTGGAAACTGGTCACAACAAACTTGCTTTCCAGCTTTCATGAGGCTACAGGCAAGCCAATACCCAGACCTGTGCCAATGCAGCAGGGTTCAACTTTCAACTTCAGGTTGCAGGACATCTCAGTACATACATAAGCTTCAAAAATAGCTGCCATGAAATGCTGAAAAGCGATGAGCTCCTTTGCAGAGACTCACAGGGGCCAGCTCAGAGTCAAATGTTATCCAACAATTTATTCAGTAAATATAAAAAGAGATCGTAGACAAAATTCATGCGGAAAGATATTGGCAGAGTGGTCAATACCTATAAGAGCAGGGCAGTTGGACAGAGAGCACTGCAGCACTTGTCGAGCTGGGACCTTTCGCATAAAGCAGCCTGTGAGTGTCTGACAGCACTGGAGTTGGTGGCATGGAAGCATTAAATCTTTTGAAAGCATTAAGAGCTAAAATTTTGCTGCTTTGGGCATGGTAAATATATACTTGGCTTTATCTTTTACTTTCATGTGGTTTAGCCAAATATCTTGGACTTATGCAGCAGTGTGGCAAATCTAAAAGCTGAATAACTTGGACACATGGCAAAAATACCAGAAGCATCCTTGGACCTGGGAAAGGCTTCTCAGCACTTTTCTAGGTACTTCTAACACCTTTTCCTCATTTTTAATGTCAACACTTTGCCCTCCTCCCTCTTTATAGGTGAAGTGTCCCTTAGTCACATCACCGAGCTAGGGGCACAGTTTCAGGACTATCTACGTAACAGGGCTGTGATGAGTCATTTGTCCTCTCGTGTGTTCCCTGCCATTGGGTTCAGAGATACAAAACTCAAATACGGGAAGTGGGAGACTGCTCCCTACCTGAGAGAAATGTAAAAGCAGATATCTAAATCACTGCCTTCCTTCTACTAGCTACCCGAGTCATTTTCAGGACCTCGAAAAAGCTTATACAGCATACACACTTTGTATTACAAAAAGGAGTGACTGTTCATGTGTCTTACTGGACTTGCAACTTTTTATTTATTTATGGCTTTTCATAAAGCAGACAGCTAGTTGCCAGAATGAAAAAAGGCATCTTATAAGCATGTGAGAAACTACTTCCCCACCCCAATGAAAATGCTTTTCTAAACACCAAGCAACACCAGATGCCAGGGTGTCTAAAATAGCAACTAGTGAGCTCAACTAGTTTAACTCTGCAGGCACGCTAGGGCAGAAGGCCATAATATAAAGCTCTGTGCATGCAGAGTGCAGCTGATCTGACCATGCACAGCGAGTCCAACCTGTTGAGTTTGCTGTATACACAGGTCAGGTCCATTTTGCTAGCTACCAGGGCAAGGGGGTGCTTTATCACACCAGCAGTGAGTTTTTAAGTCCCTTTCTCCACCACCTTTTCTTAGCGTGGGGACTGGCAGACACCAGCATGCACAAAACACTTGGCTTGCTCCCAGAAAAAGCTGGTAGCAACCAGGATCTCCAGCTGTGGGGTGGTGAGCAGGAAGATGTGGTTTTCCTCCATATCTGGCATGGTGAGACTGATACTAAAATAATGTGAGTTGTGTCCAGCCGTTCAAAAAAAAATATTATAAAACTGGACAAGGGAAACAAAAAAAAATATAAAAAAATATCTTAAGATCTGGAGATAGCAACCTGAAGCACAGAGTTAAAGAAGTTGGCCAATGATGTGTCCTAGAAGTCTGAGGTACCTTAAAGGCTAAGTCACATCAGATACTGACTAGTCCTTTAAAAGTGAAATGCAGGGGAGGAACAGTGACTGCCAACCCACATCAGAAATACCAGGGACACATTTTTAAAGGAAACGTGGGTTTTAAGAAATTCCTGGAGCCAGCTCCTAAAGGCAGTGAGTGGCAAATTCTCCATCTCCTGGTTTCTCCCCTCCAGCCAGGACAGCATATGGACGTGTGAAGTTTCAACAGACCGACACTTCCCTTTTGGCCTTGAAGGCAACATGACTGCAGCCTGCAAGAGACTCCCCTTCCCAGAGCCCAGGGGAAGGGCATCAGAGAAGCCCAGTCCTGCTGGGAGATGCTGAGCAGCCTCTGCTTGCACTCCAGTCTCTGCCTGTGCCTTTGCACCCACCTGTGTGCCCGTTGTTCCTCAGCCTGAGCTTCTCGTTGGCAGGCAGGCTGTAGCCAGAGAGCTGAATCGGCCGCAGCTGTGGGCTGAAGATGGTCTTGGCTGTGTCAATGTTGATTGGTGACTGCACGTTGCCCCCACAGTCCAGGTAGTCCACACCCCAGTGCTCCCGGTCTGGTACAAGGAGGAAGGGAGGGAGTGCCAGTGAGACTGCTTGGGCAAGGAGCCTGCCAGAGACAAGGTTTGGTGGGTGCTGGGGAAGGGGACAGGCACTGGCCAGGAAATAAGCCATGCATGTAAGGTTATGTTTCCATCAAGTTAGCTTGGGAACAGCTCTGTGCTACCATGTGACTGCATGCAGCTGTACCCGGAAAGGTCTCAGAGCATAGTGAGTGCCAGGAAAGTCTATTTTTGGGGTGTTTGGAAAGAGTGAGAGAAGATCATTTACAAGTGGACTTGGCAAGCTGAGGAGCTGCTGCTCTGCAGCTCATCACACACTTGCTGCCTTGCACAGCCTGGCCTCTGGCAGGTATTGACACACCGCTTCGCAGGCATTGCTACTCGAGCAAGGTACCACAGTGCTGCTGGGATCACGCGAGCTGACAGCCACAGGACAGGTTCCCAGCTGTTAACTGCACTGGTATAGTCCTGCAAAGGGCCAGCTCACATGGCTGCGGTGGCTGCTTAACCTGTCACCTCTTCCCAGTGCCATAGCTCAGATAAGCACAGCTGATGGCCCAGAAACTTCCTCTTGCACTGCAGGGAGCTGCTTCTACCACACCTTGGGTCAGTGCAAACCCAGGATCATGCCCAGCCCAGGCCCTTGCAGGACCCCCATAAAGATGGAGCTGGGCATTAGCAGGTCAAAGCCAGGCCCTGGTCCCAAGCAGAGTGATGGTGCTGGAGCCTGGCCCACCACTGCCCCAGGAAGGGATGCATTTGTGCTAGCACTGCAGTAATGCCCATCATGGGGGCTGTGGAAAAGTCCTCCAAGCCATGATGGGGGGTCAGGGCAAGGCAGGGTGGGGAGGGAGGGTGACAGAGGACAGAGGTGAGGACACAAGGTAATCCCTGGGCAGGTAAAAGTCCCAGCATGGGCTGCAAGTCCAGCCCGGAGCGCCCAGCTGCTTTCCCACTTGGCACATGATCAGGAAAGCTTCTGTTCAGGGAGGAGCCTTGCCCCAAGGAGAATCCCCCCACACCCAGGGGGCTGGAGAAACCCTTGGTGGAGCCACTGCTTCCTGCTCAAATCAGAGCAATTCCCAGCTTTTCAGCCCATCCATGCCCAGGTTTAGGCACCGCTGAAGCATCAGGGTCAGGCAGGTGGGAAGGGTGAGACACAGAGTGCGTACAGGAGCATTGTAATCATTAACCATGGCTGGCTCAGGCCCAGAGTCTGCCAGGTGGTAGGAAAAAAGCAGGAGTAACTGCAGGGTATTTACCTTCATAGCTCCAGTGACTGTGGCCAGGACCTTGACAAAAAAAAAAAAAAAAGAAAAAAACCACATGAATGGAAGGGAAAGGTTGGCAGCAAACACACCTCTGCAAGGCAGCACTCCCAGCCCTGGCAGCAGGTCTCGGGCTCCCACTGCCTTCAATCCTCCTCCCTGACTTAATTTTCCTGCTTTTCCCCCTGCCCCAGCAAGGGGGATACATCCAGAGGGCACTGTCTCGTCTTAGCAGGGCCAGGTCTCTCAAAGTTGTTGGTCAGAGGGAAAACTCCAGGGTTTGACACTTTGTTATCATCCTCATAATGGAAAAATCAGAGATACTGGCTTCCGTCACTGAGCAGCTGTACCAGTGCTCTTGCAGCTCCAGAGCAGCCAAAACATCCCACATCCCAAGATAAAGCACTTTAATGAGGCAGGTCTGCAGCTTCCCTGTTCAGGCTCTGTAAGGAAGTGCAGCCAGGGAAGCGGCTGTCCTGGTGACACTCCTGCAATGCTGAAGTACTGGAGAGGGTGTGGGGAAGAGCAGCTCCCACACCATAAGGAGCTTGAGCAGCATTGCATTGTGCAGACACTCTCCTCCCACCAGAGAAAGCAGCCCTGGGACTCACAGCAGAGGAAGCAAATGAGCACCAAAACCTTGTCTTCCTCAACAGTGAGTGCCCCTACAATGGGGGCAGACTGCCACAGGAAAACGTGCCAGACCAAACACCCAGCTCCTGTCACAGCAGCCTCCTGCCCCAACTCACTCGACCACACAAATCCCCATGCAGAGTTACATAAGGGTCCTATCATGAACAAACCCTTCTTTAGGAAAAGCAGGAGGGAGGATGGAGGAGCCTGTTGCCAGGTCCTCTGCAAGTCCCATGTCCCCCATGGAGCACCCTGTGGCTGTGGCAGGGCAGGATGTCCCCTGGTGTGCCCTGAGCCTCCCACGGCTCGGGGTGTCCCCAGTCTGCAGATCTAGAGGGAGCAAAGCCCTCCTGGGGCAGGTCCTGAGCACATACCAGTGATCCACACAGCAGCCCTTGCACCATCGCTCTCCTCTAGAGCTGCGAGCACAGCTCAGGCTCCCAGCATGTCACTAGAGCTGGCCTTAGAAGTGCCTCCGAAACTCTTCTCAGATACCCCTGACCAAAACACCTTGGCTAACACCAGACTTTCTGCCTGCAACCAGCTCCAGGCAACCCTTTGCAGGGGAATTTGGATCTGTGGGGTTTTGGATGTGCAGAGAAATTTAGCCCATAAGGATTATGCCCCTGCCCTGACTGGCACAACAGGTAATTCACGGGCTCCTCCCCTGACCTGTCCTTACCAGCATGCTCGTCACTGCAGACAAGGCTGTTGGCACATCCCAGTCCAGAAGGGCAGGAATGGAGGGTGCCAGGTCAGGACAGGCTTGGGGTGAAGGGTTGCATGCAGTAAGGGGCAGCATCCACACCTGCTTCTATCAGCTCCCCAGGGTGCAAGGACAAGGAGGAGCATTTAGCCAGTACAGTCCAGCCTTGATTACCATCTCTATTCCTTGGCAGGCCCAAATGCCTGACAGCCTGCCCGGGATGCAGGAGGGGCTCAGCAGGCACTGCTCCCATCCCCATCGTTGTTGCTGACAACAGCTATCGACAGCCACTTGCTATTAATAGAAGCAGATTCCAGCTCAGGGGTGAGAAAGGAAGAGGCACACTTTCCCAGGCCCAGATGTCCTATACGAGGCCCAAGCCCAGCAGGATACTGCCCTCCTTGCAGCAAGGATCCAGGCATGGGTGCTGCTGGGGACCTTCGGTGCAGCTGCTGCCTTGGAGAGTGGATGGCCACAGCAAAACTGGGCTGGGGAAGAGCTGGAGGGTGCTTAGGGCACCAGGAGTTGCAGAGATGAGAACAGCCCTCGGGGGTCCCTCCAGCATTGACAGTGACTCATCCCTACAGCGCTTCTGACACTCGGGAGGTATGCTCGATGCTCAGGAGTCACTTGCCCAGGCACAGGGTACTCCCAAAGGCATATAAAGAAGGGGCAGAAAGCAAAGGGCTTTGGCAAGCCACTGCTGCCTAAGTCAACAGGAACATGTGAGCCCTGGGACGGGCTGCAGTGCCCTCTCCATGCCTACAGCACTGCTCTGGGATGCACCCAGCTGTGCTGCAGCAAGCTGAGATTCATCCTGCCCACCCTGCTCACACAAAGGTAACCTGCTCTCCAGTCACTGATTATGCATCAAAATCGAGAGTACACTGACCCTCCTATGGAAACACCCTGTATCTTCCCTCACCCTGTCCCTGCTCTCCTGCCCACCTGGCACTGTCTGCATGAGGTGGTCATGGCTTGCACACAAGAGCCACATAAGAGTGCCTATCGGCATGGGGAGCCTCCCCAAGGGGCACTCGCATTGGGTAAGGCACAGAAGCCTGGATTTGGCACACGGTGCCTTGGCTCACTGCACATGCCTCAACCGGCATGGCCCGCCCCAGCACCTCGCCTTCTGCTCACCTCCAGGGACTCTGCCTTGACAGAAAGCAACTCAAACATCGTATCGTAGATTAGAACAATAGCACCGTGCCGGCACCTGCCCTGCTGTGTCAGCACTGTGCCATCCACCTCAGGCTCTCACGTCATCCTGTGTCTGTCTGTTCCCACAGCCAAGGGGGTTCCAGACCCTCCTCTCAGCTCCCTGCCAGCTCAGCTCAGCAGCTTTGAACACTCCGAAGGCTGCAGTACACCCAGGAGTCAGATCGATCCACCACAATGCAATGGACTTTCCCGGGCATCAAAGCCAAGAGGACCCATGAGAACTTACTTATGCAGTGAAGCCACATGAATTACGTTTTCCCATCCTGTGGATCTGGGCGCAGCTTACAGCACAGCCAGGCCACCCACTCAGGGAGGCATCTCCCAAGGCCAGCTGTGCAGGGTTGGTGCCCCTTGGCACCGTGTGCTGCAAGAGAGGATCGAGGCGAGTTCAGCCCAGGCAGTGAGTCGGGCTCTCAGCATCTGCCCTGGCCTCAGCATGACTCGGAGGAGCCTTGCAATACTCCAGTCCCTTCCACGTGGGGGCATTCGCAATCTCGCAGACCTTTGCCATGAACATTAACCCACTGCCCTGCCCAAATGTCGATTTGCATAATTTCAGACTGCCTCCCACACTCGCCGCCGGAGCACGTCTTCTCCTTTGGAAATCTGTGTGGTGCCAAGTCTCCTTTCTGCTGAACTGCTGCCACTCACCACAACAGACATGGCTGCACCTCGGCAGTGGGTGCTGCAGCTCTTTGCACACCTTGCCCTACCTCTGAGCACCCACAGGCCTGGGAGGGACTACAAAACACTCCCAAAAGCGTGGGGGGACCTTGCTGCTGCTGTGAGCACACTGGGATATAACATGCAAGAGGACTCCTTGCAGGAGTTCCAGCAAGAAAATGTAGTAGGGTATCAACAAGGAGCTGCCTGCCCTTGCAGAGGAGAAATCCTCCGTGCTCAGCCACACAGAGTCCCTCCAGTCCAGCTGAACACTAAATGCGACCCCCCCCTTCCCCCAGCAGCCTGCAATCCAGCCGAGTCTCCCCCTTTCACGCACTCCCTCCTTCGGGCTTTCTCCTGTTGCTCACGCCCTCTCGGCCCTCCCATTTTGGGATACTGGCGCTGCCGTAAGCGCCAGCTCCCTTCCCTCCTTGACATCCAACACCATCCAACAACACTTTCCTGCCGCGTTCAGGCAGACGCTGCCATTACCAGCGTGCTGCTCAGCATGTCCTGCAGCTGGGGAGGAAGGGTAGGAGCAACTTTCAGCAGGGTGAGGAGCCAGCACAACCGCAGGCCGCTGCTAATCCCACGTAGGAAAGGCACCGATGCAGCAGGCTGCTCCCGGGAAACCTCACCACGGAGACACAGGGATGGACCACGCACTCAAGGGACTCAGGATCATTTGCACTGAGCAAGAGATACCCCTCGGCAAAGCCAGGCAGTGAGGAGGGAGACCAGAGGGTCTGCCCTATAGGTCTGCCCCCTCCATCCTCAGCTTTTGACATTTTAGGGGGTACACAGCCTGAAGCTGTTGCAGGGCACCTGACAACACTGAAACATGTCTGCCATTCACTGCGTGGATGCTGCCTGGCACCAACACAGCCATTGGTGCTGCCTGCTCACCTTGAACTCCAGCAAAAGTTCGATGGCTTGTGTGCAGTGGGTGGGCAGGGTGGCAGGCTCACGTCTAGCTCAGACATCCTGCGCTCTTATCGACTGGGCATACCATGCCCTGTGCTCAGTCACTGGGAGCAGTGGGATACTGCCAGAGCCTCCTTTCCCTATTGGGATCCAGCTCTGGGCCAGACCTGGGTCAAAGCCTTGTGGAATGAGGCCAGTTCACAGGGGATGCCAGGGCAGGACCACCTTGCTGTGCCCCTAAGGATGAAGCCTGTATGCAGATCAGTCCCAGGCTGTGAGGGAACCAGTGGTGCTCATGGTCCAGAGAAGAGGGAAAGCTGGATGTTGTTCTGATGCAGAGCCAGGAGGTACCAGGGCACACAGAGATACACAGAGTGTAGGTCCCAAAGCAGGGACCAGCCACAGCAGCCAGGTCTCAGCCTACAAAAGACGTCCAAGCAAGACGTCCACTGAAAGCAATAACCTGATGATGGTACCCAGGCTGTGTCACTGTGCTCATGCTACCCATGGCCACCTCCTCAGGCCAGTCTGTGGCAAGCATGGCACAGGCATGGGATCCATGCAGTGGGGTGCACAACCCCAAGCATCCTTCTGCCAAGCACCATGAAGAGTCTCTCTATAGGAGAGCTGTGCCATCCCAGCCCTATATTCACCAGCACAACCCTGGTTTTTCCATCCAGACACATACCCCCTGCAACACCCATGCCCTTTTAGCTCTGAACACCATCCCATGGGAGCACTGATCCCTCCTGAGCCTGGCTGCATTAAAGCCCTTTGTGTTCATAGACTCTGACCCATTGCAAGCCTTTGGGATCAGCCTTTAATCTGCCACTGGTAGCACAGTTCACTGCGGGGATTGTTCTTTGTGCTCCCCCCTCCTGGGGGAGGACTGCTCGGGCTGCAGGGCCCAAGACTGGGTCAGCTCCCCCCACAAAGTGGCAGGGGTTTGAGTGGAGGAAGGCATAGGGTAGGCTTTACTCCAGGGCACATTCCTGCTCCCTGTGAACTCAACTGCCCCAACAAATGCCAAGGGAAAGAGGAAACAATCACAGAGCGCTGCAGAGAAAGGGCCATCCCAGAAGGGGTAAAAATGGGGAAATCCCAGATCAGTGCTTGGAGCTGGCAAATGAGTAAGGAGTATTAAGCAAGAGAAATGGACTCAGCAGCAGGAAAACAGCATTGGGGAATGACCAAGAAGAGGACATGGAGAGAAGGATAGGTCTGAATAGGAGGGGGAGAAGAAAGAGGTTGCAGTGCAAAAGGGAGTTATGGTATCTCAAAGACACCCACAGACTCTGGTCTGTGGCAAGTCAGAGAGCAACTCCTCAGGGGCAAAACCTCAGGGGCAACCCCACCCCGGCTTGTGTTGAGCACCCAGTCCTGGGGGACCACCAGCCTTGTGCACAAGCCTTGAGGAAGAGTGTGCCAGCACGTCGCCCAGCAGTGGTGCCATGCAGCTTCTAGCGCCTGGCAGGAGCCTTGGTGGGTCCCAGCCAAGACCCGCTCCTTAACGGGACTCCATGCAGATCTTCTACCTCAACACTGATACAAGCATGGGCCAGGCTGCCTATTCCCTACCTACCTCCCTGCCTCTTCCCACCCTTCACCTCATTTTCCATCTCCATCCCAGTCTCCCCACCCGTCCATCCCAAACCCCATGCAGTGCCCAACCACTCGCTGCCAGCGCACCACACCGGTATGCTGAATGACTGATGCCCTCCCACCCTGTGGCCAGGGTTACTTCATCTATGTGGCAAGGACCATCTGCCTCCCCATCTCTGTCCAGTGCTCAGCCCGGCATGAGCAGGTCTGGTAAGAAATGTGATTCACTGCAATAACAAAAGCAGCTCCTGGCACCAAACAATTGTTGGTCGAACCACAGGGCTGCTGTCCTGGCACAGGTCAGAGCAACTCCTTACCAGAGGCAAAACCAAGGACACACTATGAGGCTGAGCTCGGGAAACAAACCCACAGGCAAAGCTGGGACGAGGAGTGTAGCCAGGGACAGGATCATCCCTGTGCAGCGTTCAGCCTCACTCGAGCAAACACATGGCACTGCCCCAAAATCCCTGCTGAGTGCTGGCAGCGCCACAGTACCGAGTCAAAAAAGGGACCGAGACCAAAGACCCAGGACTTTTATCCCGAAACAGTGACTCTGAAATCTGAAAGCCCCCGCACCACCAGCAAGACAACTCTCGAGGAGGAGCCCCGTCGGCTGAGGGCACCCTCGGCATGGGTGTCCCCCCTCCTCAGCGAGGGGTGAAGGATCCCTCAGCCTGGGTGTCCCCCCCTCCATCAGTGGGTGAAGGATCCCTCAGCCTGAGTGTCCCCTCAGCAGTGGGCAATGGACCCCTCAGCAGTGAGTGTCTCCTCTCCTCAGTGGTGGGTGAAGGTTCCCTCAGCAGTGAGTGTCCCTTCTCAGTGATGTACACTTAAGAAAAGCATTTCTTGAGGCGAGAGGAAGACACAACTCTGCTCTGGGCAGAAGTTTTGCCTTTCTGCTGTTCCTCAGAGGTGGCAGGAAGCATGTGGGTGCACCTCAGCCTATGTACATAGTGTACCCAGATCCCGAAAAGCTTTGGACAAGGTCCTGTACCAAATCTTCTTAATCTGTCTCATGTTATAAGATGCTGATCTCCATGGTTAAGCAAACAGGCAATGGAAGGTAGGATAACAGGTCAGTTTTCAAGGGGGAGGGAGGTACATGAGATACTTTCCTCAGGAGCTGCACTAGGGTTTGTGTTTTTCAGCATCTTCATAAATTGTCTGACAAAGAACAGAGAAGTGATGGGACAGAATTAGTTATGACACTAAGGCAGTAAAGGACTGAAGCTGCCTTGGAGAGTTCAAAGGGGCAATAATGGTGCTGAGTGACAGGGCACATCAACAGCAGATTGCAGTCCATTGTTGGTAGAGGCAAAATGATGCACAGGTGGTGTAATCAAGGATGGACGGCGCGAGGGTGAACTAGGATAATGCAACTCACAGAACAGAGATCAGAGAGTCATGGTGATGTCAGCTCACTGCTTGCCAAGAAAAAAAGTGAAGTAAATTTCAGGGATTATCGAGAAAGAAAGCACAAACCAAAAAGAACCAGTCCTGCTGTTGTACAAATCTTGGGTGAAACCTCCTTTTGGTTATTGCCCATGGTTTTGTTTCTCCTGCCACAAAAGGGTCAGAACGAGAAACAGCAGGCACGGGGCCTCAGGGCTGTTTGGGGGCAGAGGTGGTTTTCAAGCAAGGAAGGAGCAAAGCTGCCCAGACTGGTGAAGTGAAGTCTGTGCCTGTAATATCCCAGTTTGTATGTGATTGGGGAGCAGGGAATGAGCACTTACTTTCTCAGGATAGCGGATTTATAGCACAATCGACTG